GTTAAAAAACCTACTTTGACTTTATGACATTTATAAATATATATGCTAATATAATATATAAGTATTTAATATATGGAAGTTTATAATATGTATAGGTTCTTTGCGGAACATAATCACTGTTAGTGACTGGAAAGAAATTTTGAATTTCCTTTTGAAAGAACTTTTGCTGGATTACTTAAATGCTATATACGAAACCTTTTTCAAAATGCAATTGTTCACTTGTGACATTTTATTGTTTGTTTGCTAGTTAGCAGAGCCTTCCCCAAGGAACCTTTTACTTGATTGATTCGATATCAAAGTGATATATCAGCACGTGATTATTTGATGCAAAGGATCTAGCCACCYGAACCCTTCCCTTCCTAGCGATCCAGGTTTGGTTATCCCACATGCCTTGATCCCATTCCCTCCCTGAAGGAACCAAAAGCTTTACAGTGCGTACTCTCAAACCATGAACACTTCAAGGTTTTTTTTGGCAATCTTTCATAACGTTCTCTGTAGAGACAAAAAATAGGGAAAAAAAGGTTTTTTTTTAGTGCTAGACACGTATTAAAACGTGGTAGTATGCAAAACTGYAACACRAAGTGCAAACTTTCAATAATTTACAGGAATATATATATATATAGTTCATTTTTAAAARCCTTGAAGTGTTCGTGGTTCGAGTGCCGCACAGTAGTAGTCCTTCTCTCGAGTACTTAAAGTTTATAATAATAACAGGACGAGCTCGAAAATACGTTGTTTAGCAAACATACGAACCAACAGTACTTTCAGTCATTACTGTAATAGACTTACATTTAGATTTGAAGACATTTGAGGACAAAATCCAGAATTACACTGATGTTGGTTAGYGGGTAACACCACCCCTCCCCTCTTAATCGAGTCCCGTAAGATGACAATTAAAACCATAAAACAATATCTAAGTACCATCATCATAGCTTATAGGGTATATATTATATAATAAAATATAGATAAATATAATATAAAAGAACTCTATATATGAAARGGTCGGCTCACTGGGGCATCAAACTTTTCAAGTTGATCATGCATTTAGTGATGAAAAGTTAGACGTCTGGACGTGCCGCACGATCTTAGGAAAGGTATGTTTCTATAAAGGGGCTCCGCCGTCAGGGGGATGGGGAGGGGGGGCTGGAATTTATCATTACAACTTTGAACATTTTAGAGGTATGAGGAATCATAAAATTATCCCATGGAAATGGAGGGCGTGAGAGAGAGGAAGTTTTAAAAATATCTTTAAAAGACTTCCCAGCCCGTATGTAAAAACACACCTCCCCTTGCGTTATAATCTTATATACTAGTTAACTACTAGTCTTGAGTTGCATACTATGGATAATCCCACAGTTCATTTGCTTTTTCTATTATACACACAAGCGCCTTGAGGTGAGTGTGTATACAAAGAAAATACCAGTTACAAGTGGGATATTCCAAGGTGTGCCACGAGAAAGTATTGTACGATTATATCTTTCCCACACCATTGAAAATGCCTAGGCATTTAGTCAAGTAATTTAGAAACGCAGCAATATACGACGGTTTTCCCAGCATTCTGATTGGCTGTATTTCTGATGGCTTGGGATAAACTATTTTACATTATTAGTTCCGGAAACTGTAGCATATATCTTGGATGATATCTTTTTTCGAAAAACCACTCCCTGAATGTGTTTAGGCTTTATTTACATCTCTKGTCTTAGTGCTTCGCCCATTTGTCATATTTGGTTTGCCTTTTTTTGTCGATACATCAGGCTGCGCCCGTTGCTTTTCAACTTTTTGATTTGTTTTATTTTCTTTTGTTGCGTTTTCTTCGGTKGCTTCATCTTCCTTTTCACTAGCAGRGTCTGTATTTGACGCGGCATCGTCGTCAGGCTCACTGACAACACTAGAATCATCATCTCCGTCCTCTTTATCATCGTCATCGTCTTCCTCATCTTTGTCATCTTCGCTTTCTTCCTCTTCTTCACTCTTGTCATTTTCATCATCATCTTCATCTTTCTCGTCATCTTCGTCATCTYTTTCTTCCTCTTCTTCGTCTACTTCGTCTTCAGACTTCACTTCATCTTCGCTGTTCATCTCTTGGCTGCTTCTGCGTGATGGATTTTGGCTGACAACAGGACTGTCGTCGTTRTCGTCATCTTCRTCATCATCAGAAGCAGYAGGACCTACAGGAGAGTTTTTATCCGAGCCATCGACTTTCCTCTCATCATTGTCAACTGCATCAGAATCATGTACTTTATCAACATCAACTTTCGTCTCATCACCATCATTGGATACCAATTCTTCTGCAGAGTCGCCTTCTTCTTCTTTTTTCGATTCTTTATCAGACTGGTCAACATTGTCTTTTGATGTCTCGCTATCGCGTCGTTCTCCTTTGACCGTCTCGTCACTACTTTCTTTTTGTTTGTCATTCTCAGCTGTATCCTTCTCATCTTCACCTACTGACGATTCAATGACCTCTTCAGCAATTTCCATTTCATTTTCCTCCTCTTTTTCAATTTTCACTTGTCTCTTCTCACTCATTTTACTAATTTCTTTAGCGCTATCTTTAGGCGTCTCGGATGTTTCCGTTGCATCTTCGATATCTTCCATAATTTCCTCCACCACTTCCTCTGCCGAAGTGTTGTCGAGTGTCTTCATGGGAGTTTTACGAGGATCATTTACCATATCTCCCCATTCCTTTTGCATTCCACTTGCCTTGTAGATATGCGCTCCTATAGATTCTTGTTCCTGTTTCGGGAGTTTATCAATGTCATGAGGAATTTCCCCAATTTCAGGCAACTTTTCATCATTCGTTACAGATTTTTCAGTTATATTTAAGACGGCCGATAAAGTGAAATCGGGCGACTCGTCRAGAGGAGGTGGTGTTACTGATAAATTAACGTTTGAGAAACTCTCTTTATTATCGTCCTGTGAAAGACTGACAATAGACTTTTGATTTGGTACACCAGAACGTTTGTTTTGAGTATGTTTTTTGATGGGTTGTGTTCGACTAGAAGGTACATTCTTTTCTTGCTTCACAGGTGGCGGTCTTGGTTTGTTTACGATCGGTGGTTTGACTATTTGCTTCTTAGGAGACCTGTTTACGCTAGTATTATTGTTTTGTGGGACGAGTGGTGGCAATCTTACGCTCGTAGAATGCAAGACAGCGTTCCTAGGGCTTACTTCACCATGTCCTCCGTAATTCATAGGCTTAAATCTACTTCCTCTTTCTATCGCGACGTACTTTCCATCGTGCTCAATTTCATCACAGTCATGAATTTGCCTCCCATTAAGAGTAAAAAGCTTAGAGATCGCAAAATCAAAATCCAATCCACTCTCTTGTAAGGCAGCTAACACTAGTTCCATATCTGTTAACACTCGCTTCTTTAATAATATCATCCTTGCCGTTGTTATGTTATCACCATTTCGGTACACATAAATTCGTTTCAACGCCTGTCTCTCTCCTTCGTATACTTTCCGAAACCTTCCCGAAGATGGTAAGTGGTTTCTCCAAACAGGAGGTAGSCTTACCGRTACTTTGCGAGGTCTTGGCTGGCCGTATTTTAGTCTCTTGAAGTTTTCTCGCCCGACGGCTACATACATGCCACCATCGGAAAGTTGATCGACGCTTTCGATATTGTGACGACCAAGTGGAGTGCATATCCTTGTTACAGCATTCGTACTCTGTGTACTGAAAGTAGCCGTGTCTAGGAAAGACTCAAAGTTTCTATAATAGCGAGGATTGACTACGATATGTTTGCCATTGAAATTTGGATCTCCATTTCTGAACARAGTGACTCTCGTCACATGTTGGACACCAACGTCGGCCATTTTAGACATGCAGCTGGAAAGAAACACATAAACATTTATAAGTGATTGATGGGCCTTCTAAAATGAATTCTTTATTTGTTTATATTGTTTGAATCCGAATAAGAAGGATATTTGCTAATCTGCGYTGGGATTTGCATGAGAAGAGTTTGTTTTTTCTGATTAATGTAAATAATTAGGATTAYAGTTGGTCTGGCCATACAGCAGGTTGATAAATAAACTTGGCGAGCTTTAACGACATCGAATTATAAGTGCAGATTCACTGACTTGATGGACTAAATAAAAGTTAAATGACTGTAAGATGCAGGATGAATTCTATCATATTTTTTWAAACTAAATTAAGAGCAGGATTAATTCTATGCCAAAATTCTTTAAAACTAAGAAAGAAAAAGGAACAAACATATTCATGATTGAAAAAATAATTTGAGGGGAAAAAACATCGCATGCCAATAACTGATACCTTGTCTTGTCCAAGAGAAAAACGCCGAGTAATTTAAGATTTAAGACCTCCGCGTTGAATGTGAAATACAAGGGAAGGACAATAAGGAACGGAAAAAAAGAAGGTAATAATGAGAAAAAGGAAATTTCAAAGCAGAATACTAAATTTAAAATCTTTATATTRATATGTGGGAGTCATTTCCTTGGGGTTCTACACATTTTGTTTCGCTTAATTTCTGCTTTTGTTTTTGATTCCAAGGAAAAAACGCTTTGTTTTGTTGAGCACGTCCCGTTACCAACAAAAAAGAAACGTCATGAATATTGGATTAAAAAGAACGCTAATGCTACGAGATCCCCCCCTGTTTTTTTTATAATAGCTAAAGAACTTAAAAACAGAAAAGAGAGACTGGGACCGACTGTCATGGTGGTCGGACGTGTCCAACTTTAGTCCGTAAACCTGGTCTACTTTCTGCTTAATTCATATGTAGAAGAAAAATCTCATAGAACTAGAAAAGTTAAATGTCGAAAAGGAGAGAAAGAGAACCAAATTCTTCAGTATCATCGCAAGAATCTTCGCCAATTTCAAAAAGTTGCAAAATGTCGAACGAAGAACACGTGGAAGGAAAGAACACTGACAGTGAAAAACCAACGCTGGAAATGATTTATACCAAGTTAATGAGTGTAGAAGACAACACAGTTAAACTCATAAATGAATATGCTGAACTTAAAAAAAATTATGAGAAACTTAAAGAATCCTTCGAAGAACAATCTGGTAAAATTCATGAGCTTCAAGTGGAATTAAAAGAGCAATGCGATGTAGGCAATGTTACAACAAACGATATATCAGCTTTAAAGTCTAGAGTGAGTCAATTGGAAGAAAATCAAGATGAGATAAGCCAGTACCAAAGGAAATATAACTTGGAAATTCATGGTGTTCCCGAGTGGGACAACGAGGACTTAGAAGAGATCGTCGAAGGAATTGCGAAAGAAGTTAAAGTGGAGATAGATAGTGGCGATATCGATATTGTTCACAGACAGTATTCTAAGATAAAACCCAGACCGATCCTGGTAAAATTTAAATGTTATGAAGATAAGAAGAGTTTATATGAGGCGAGATGGAGGCTTAGGAAGTACGAAGGAGATGACGAAAAGCTAAATGGTGCGGAAAAGATTTTCCTAAATGAGCATCTAACATCTGAAAGAAAGAAGCTGTATGCAGAAGTGANAATAGTTAAAGAGCTTAAAAACAGAAATCAAGTGCTACTAAAGATTTATTTTATGCGCTTTTGATTAATAAACACGTCCCTTTAGCAACGAACAAATACGTCACGAAAACTGGATAAAAAGCTCAGTTGTCTCCAGAATGTTTTTTCCATTTTTCAACTATAATGATATGAGCTAAAATCGGAGGAAAATCTCACTAAAGATTCATCTTATGCGTTTTTGTTTGTTGAGCACGTTTACCATCAACAAACTCAAAGTAACAAATGGGTTATAAAAGCATAGCTTTCGCCAGAAATTTTTCTTTTCATTTTTTCATAATGTACAGAGCCAAAAATGCTCAATAAAGATTCATTTTAAACATGCTCTTCAAAAATATCATTAAGCAGAATGACAAACGTTTTAGAGCTTAATAATAGCTGCGAGTTTTTAAGCTCTTCTGCTGATAATATGATCAGCCACAGCGGCCGATGAAGTTAAGCTTGATTGTATGGCATTACCACTTTCTAAAAAGGAGATAACTAGCTAAAAACTAGTGTGAGCTGCGTCGGTGTTTCTAATGAAAGAGAAATGATAAAAGGGTAAATTAAATACTCCTACGAAGYGGACTAGCGTCCAAAAYRTCAGTAAGTTTTTTCATCTTTTCACGGTGTATAATTTACCCTTTTATYATTACWCTTTMTAAAAAGCAAACTCGGAGAAATTAGCATATGGAAGATTTTGATCTTTCAGCATAATGTTTCTGTAATATACAATAGCCTGATTTAGAAAAMATTAAAATGTATWAACAAAGAAAAATTRCGGGACATTAGTRTAGATTATTTGAYGTCGCTTTTCGACGCCTTTTRAATTTCACYTTTTCTTTTCTTTTTTCTTCGTTTTATTTTTTCATAACGAGAGAAACTTTTTTAAAAAAACGTAGAAGGCAAATACTAAAAAAAATACAGTCCATTTTACTAGATTTGGTCAGTTTTAATTAATCTAGAACGTTTGAAAGGCTATAAAAACCAATAAACTAYATTACGTCGGATGCTAATAGCTTTTATGACCTCCAACGTTTAAAATGTCGGAAATTTTTYAGCGGCAGCTTTCATTAAATTTCGAACTAAAGTGTTGTTTTTTTCCTTCTTCTGACCCATTAAATGAGTTGGCGTAACTGGATGTGTGAAATGTAATAGATATGATAACRAGAGCAATGCCATCGACCTGACTGCTATCAGTGCCGGAAAAACTRTTAAAAATTCACAAAAACTGAAGTTATGATTCATGCAGTAATCATGCTCGCTTCTGGCTATTCCATTAAGAAGCAAATAAAACCCACTCTCTAATTCGTCATATAGCATATCTATGTGGTATTCTAACGTATTTAAGGGCTTAGATCGTTGCCAAATGATGAATTTTTGGCAAACTTWTCATGCTGGGAAGCATCGGGAATTCAGTGTTAATATTTCTTGTCATGTTACCTTGGAAACAGCTGTTCCCGATCTCAACGACTGACTTGATAAGTAGTCTATCCAATAATCTAGTAGTGTTCGTTATAAATCTTCTCATAAATCCTAACAAGTTTCTTAAGTCAAAATTCCAAATGTCCCTAGGTACTCCTCCAACACTTCCCTTTAACCGTCAAAAACTGTCTTATCTTTTTAACAAGATGTTTCTTTTGACTTTGTCGCATGTCACCAGGCAACCGTCACTGAAAACCAAGATGATGGCTACTGAATGACTCAGACAATGCCTTATCTAAAATTCAATTTTTGTTTCGGATATGAATACTTCTAACAGGTTATACTCGAGCTCACAGCCAACTTATATGCTGTAAATAATCAATGCTTATGTTAAACTAAACAATGGCGTTTCTTAAACCTTAGCTCCCGTCGTGACAATTCGTAAATTCRTATTGAAAACCAAAATAGAATGAAAGAGAAACGAGAAACTCGATTGCTTACCATACGKTTAAACTCGTAGAGTCAACGTTTCATTTGTATAATTCGAGTTTTCGCGATCGTTTTAGTGGAAATTTATCTTCCCCAAGTTGGCCCCCCAACAAATTCGCAAGTTAAAATACAAACTAAACGTTGACAAAAACTAGCAGAACATAAAAATGCCTGCAAAACGATGCTTTTAAGTATTATTAGAGGGGAGTATTCTGGTGAATCGATGGAGAACTGAGACGTTGTCAGTTATAATGACTRATCGACTTATCGCACATATTGAATTTCGATGGCTTTGCGCTCATTTCGCGTGATGTGGTGTTACCTTCATATATGACTGTACGATGTAAATCCAATGAAAACCACGGCTCGTATATAGCATTTTAAACAGTATTTCCTCTTTTGAAGACATAGATAAATCAAATATCATATCAAGATCGAAGTAATGTTTAAACTGTCGATACAAAATCGACACAAAACGTTATGTGATCGATTCACGCCTGCAAATTAAGTTCGTTTCATAAAACTAATAAATCGTTTATAAGGTAGCTCGCGACATACATACCTTGGATTTTAAGTCATGTCCAAACCACTATACCAGAGCCTTAAKGCCTTAAACTTTGTGTTTCCTCAGCTAATAGGAAAGACGAGAAATCCTTATAAAGCAATATTAGTTTGGCGTTTAGAGGTGAACTTTTGAACACAACATGGAGGAGGTGACAGATTGTGTGACGTCGTGTTGATTTAATAGCAATCTCATTCAATCGGTAACCCGACGGTACGCGACCATTGTTTGAAATAATTGATTTTTTTCAACAAACTACTCAGAAACTAATCCCTCTCATTTAGCATCCTTCTTTTCACAACCAAGCCAGTCCCCTAGCAGCCCCTACGGAGGACCAACAAGATAAGTTCATGTTAATTTCAATGTTTTTTTCGAAATAATTTGAACAACGCAGGAGATTTTATTGCACTGTTTGGCCTAAGATGTAGCTATGGTTACGCAAACAAACCCTGACATCTCGGATTGATTTAGAAAAACGTTTTCCAAATGAAGCTGTTAATTTTGTTTGCAGTGCAAAAGGAACAATGGAAAATTGTTTAAGCGATGAAACATTTCTTTTTGACTCAGGACTTTAAATAAATTCGACCCATACTCACAAACAGGAAGAGTCAATGTTCTTTAAAAATATTTTCCTAAGGAAGAAAAATGGCATAAGACAGAGTTGACTGTACTCGTTATTCTTTATTCGGCWTCTTTAGATTTCTGGTGAGCATATTTTTTCTCTTACAAGGTAGTAATTATCCCAACAAAATTYGATAGACAATTAATATTTTTACCAAATTTTTCTAGACAGAGTGTAATAACCTCGGGCATGTTGCTAACATTTGTGTTTTTAGAGATGTGTCACCCTTAGCAACGATCCTTGCGATTTCGCAAGCGACTTTCTCAGTCTTGTGATACGTCACAACCTTTCAAAGGCGCGCCAAATTTTCTCATCCAGTTGGCTGAGAGCATCCCCCATTACCACCGTATCGCGACCAACGCTGAAATCTTTTATGGTCRATATGATATCCACAAGCAGTGACAGGTGACATCTTGTAGTGCTGAACAAATGCCTTATTGGACTTGCCTTACTCTAAAGATCACCTTTGCCGCCACGACGAGACAACCAGAGTTTATGCAGGGCTCATGAATTTGAAATGTTGCTTCTGCATGGTGTTGTTTTTGGCCAATATTTTCATATGGGGGCGCTTTATTTTTTCATTTGAAAATAGGCCAAACGGTTACACATCCTTTCTCAAAACACTGCTATTTGAAAGATAATGCTGCCAATAACAGATTTCTGGGATTTCTGGAGCTTTTTCCAGAGCTTTTTCCAGCTCATTCATCAGCTGGTTTCATTCCATATTGAACAGCCAATGCAATTGTTACTTGGCCACTCTAGATAGGGCGGCTTTTTAATTTCTCAGTTTCCGTTCGAGTCAGTGCGCCAACATATTGAAGCAAGATACCTTTTTTATTTCATCAATTGTTGTATCAAATTTAACATTTTTATGTTTGTTCTGTTTTGGAGGCTTCCCGTAGGGACACTATATCGTTATATCGTTACGTTGTAGGAGTCTTTTAGATAGGATTCCGAAGCGGATGTTTTATTTCAAATACCAATTCCATTCAGTGCTACCTCTGAGATATTTCTCCATGTGAAGTATATGGTATGACTGTGTATGGACCACAATAGGGCGCACGAGCCTTTTAAAGGATGTCATTTTTCTCAAATGTCAATGCCCCTCAGGCGGTAGCCCTAAATGGAGTATTAGTCATGCATTAGGCCTGCATTAAGATAAACTGGCTCTTAAGTTGTTAATTTGTTCTCCACCACTAACGCACCAGCAGATACCTCGAAGATATTTTTGCTAACTGTGCAATACATGTGTAAAGACGGTGTAAGGGCCCCTTATAAGATCCGACTTTGGACCTGAAAGATGTGTGCATGCCTGCGTGTAGACCGCAAGAACCTTGCATTATAGTTATATTTGTACTTATTTTCGATCATGCCAAAGTTTGAGAGGAGCGCTTCTTTCTTTTGATTGAGATTTATAAAATAATTGGGATACTACGCGCGCTATGATTGGTCGAAAACCATGTTTGATGAGAGTATCAAAACACGCTATCGTCATTTTTAATCTATCGCGCAAGCTCATTGGTCAGTTTGAATAAGACTGCACGTAGGGAGAATTTACATAGACTTTGCTTTTTTTCGATCTTTTCGCGTGTTTGTTATTTTATAAAACAAATCAAAAACAGTTTTCTGTGTTTGATACTCTGATCAAAACACTTGGGATGTTGGGATAACACTCGAGAAGCTGGAAACCACTCCGCTACGAGTATCAAACACGGAAAAYTGTTTTTGATCTGTTAATTCCTATTAGATACTAATTTATCCTAGCTAAGGCATGCATGTAGACGGCACGAACCTTGCGTCAAAGGCTTTGCTTGTCCTTGCTTTCCATCATGCTGACATAACTGTTTTCGTAGAGTAAATAGTAGAGCTTTCCAAAAAGATAGGAAGGAGAAATTTTCTTACGTCCATATGTGGAATTTATTATTGGGCGTGTTTATTTTCATTGGTTGAACTTTTTTTACGTCATACAAATTGGAATCAGTATTTCTCTGTCTAATTGAAGAAGTTTTGCCCAGTAATAAGGTCCACGAGAAAACGTTTATCTTTACAACATGTACAAAACATACTAGACAAAATTGCTTTATGTTACTCAGACCATTGTGTCATTCAATCGTTCAATCAATATTCATCGTGAATTTTGTATATATAAAACACATTATACTTTTGCTCGCACCCATATCGCAAAAGAAGCGTACCCATGTACACCCTGAAAGATATAGACCCCTTGCAGCACTTTAGACTGCAGCTCAATCTGTGGCACAAAACAATAGGTTCCAATTCTCAAGAGATTGGAATTCTTTTTTTTTTTTTTTGTCCCCCATAACGAGCTGCTTTGACGTCACATGCAAGGGATCCATACCAACACTGACACACAATACAGTGTGTGCAACCATGTGACTCAAAATCCCTTGAGATATGAATAACAATGAAACAGCCGCCATGTTGGTTGATCGAACCAGAGAAGCTAATGAGGTATGCTTAGTTCAGTATCGTCAGGCATTTTTTTTTTTTTTGCCAAGTATTTTTTATTTAATACGAATACTAGTTAAACAAGACCACGATTTCGTTGTCATTATCGACAACATCATCACTGAGGTCAGTTAGAAATAGTGAAGTGAAATGAATTGAACAATCATTTTTCAATCGGCAAAATCAGAATAGAATCAGTGTTTTTTTTATTCTGGCCCATTATAAAATGATGCTAAAAACGTGATGACCCAACCCCAGTTTAGAAGCAAAATTGCAGAAGACCCACCCCTGAAAAAAGGATCCACTGATCAGATTTACCTCTATTCATTCTAAATCCCAAAAGGATTTTCTTGGTTGCACATGTCTACCACTTATTGTAACTTTGACTGTTTCGGCTTCTTCGTTCTCTCTGTCATCGTCTTCCTCACTATCAGTAATTCCTATTTCATGAGTAACAATGTCAGTTTCTATGTCGCTATCCAAATTTTCAGTATCCTCATCAGTGTCCAAATGAATTATCATCATGTTCAGTGCCCTCGCTGCTTCCTAAGCATTCCGCTTTCTTGTAGTTCTTTCCAGTCATAGTCTTCGTATGCTTTAAGTTTCTCTGCTTCCTTTTTTTTTT